GACTGTGGGTTGCACGGGTGACGTGCATGCTGGCTCGTAGGCTGAGAAAGTAGCTGCGCGGATTGGACCCCGTGGGGAGTCGTTATGGTTGTTTTTGTCTTGGAAGGTCGAGATGGAGAGTGGTGTTCGTAGAGTGGGTGGGGAGCTGGCGTTGGATGCAGAGCGCAGAGGGCGTGGAGGAGTGCGTGATGTGCTGGAAGATGGGGGTCGAGATGCTGATGCTGATGCTGATGCTCGTGGGCTAGGTTTAGATGTGGAGAGGCCGTCGTCTTGGAATAGACGGCATGATTCACGATGCAGAGCTATCAGGTCTTCACGCCGAGCTGTTCGATCGGATATCGGTGTTATAGAAGCGGTGGTTGCGGAGCGACGGTGTGAGTGGAGGGAGCTGTGTTGGCTGTGAGGGCTGGAGCGTCGTGATGAGTGAAGCTGTGAGGGAGATTTGGTTGTTGTTGGTGATGGAGGGGAGGTTGTTCTTTTGCGTTTGGAGGTTCGTCGACTATTTGTTTTCGTGGAAGATGATGGAGTAGTCGTGATGGTGGTCTCCATACCGTCGGAGAGCTGCTCATCGACTACTGGGATTGACACGATGGGCGGACTGCCTGCCCCCACGGTGATATCGGTGACTTCGAGAGTAGTGGTGTATACTTCTTTTGAATCAGGGTCGTTCACACCGGGTGAGACGATGGAGAGAGAAGGGACTTTTGTCATCAAATAGGAAGTAGGTGTAGATGTATGCTCTGGCGCTGGGCTGAGCGGTGGGGAAGAGATCGTAGGAGAAAGAGGACGATGGTTGGAAGAGCCACCAGGAAGATCGGGGCGCTGGCATGTGAACGTGGCCGCCATCGTTATTTGTGCCTGTGCCTGGCCTGCACTTCCAGGGCCGAGAACCGTAGCGGGATGGGGATGTGTTTGACTGAAGAATGACGCGGTCCAGCCGGATTCACATGCTCCCTTGCCAAATGGCACCAGTCAGGAGAGCAGTGAAGAATGCGCGATCAACAGCGGGTGAACATGCTTGTGCTATAAACAGAAATAGGAGAAAAGCGATCGAAATAAAGATGAGGTAGAGAGTAAATGAAAAACGAAAGGAGGAAAAGGGTGTGTTCTATGGGAGTATGTCAGGAGGACAGAGAGAACCCGATAAGATTAGGGTTCTGAGAGGGGAGGGAGGGGGGAAAGTTGGCTGCTGGCAAGGGACAAATGATGAGGGTCAGTCGATCTTCAGAACACGAGGATCAGCAGCACGTTTTAGGGATAGTCACGATGTACAGTGTAGGGGTTGGTTTGCTCCAAGAAAATGAAAGACAAAGGGGGGAGGATTTGCGGGATGAATGAATGCACCTGGCAAGGAAGGGATGAATAGATAGATACGTAGTTAACTAGGGGTGGGTTCGAGACAGGTCTTATTATAAGTAGAACTAGACGACAGTAAAGATGAACTAAAGGTTCACCGACCAGGCATGCCAACTTCGATTTTAGTTTCTTTGCAAGCGCCTGCAAGACCCTCCCCGGCGGCAGACCAAACCGGTTCAGTCTTTAAACACGGGCTACTTTTAGTTTAAGAGTGTGGAACAGCCAGATGATCGTATCCCTGTGTAGAATCGGGGTTGACGCCAGTTCAGCAAACCCGTCCCTAACTAGTCAAGCACGAAGCATAATGAGAAAAGGAAACACTTGCTTTGAAGGCCCAAAGAAAGAAAGAAGACTCCCCGCATAGTGGTCTCTCGCCCGAAAGTTAATACTATTGAAGATTCAGTGTGATAGGTCCAAAAGACCGATCTATCATCTTTTGTTCTTTTATTTGTTGTTTTTGTTTTTCTTTCTTGCTCTCTCTTCTTTGCAGCGGGGCATGTCACCACCACCCCGTGTTGTGTGAGTGAGTGAGTGTCTGCTGCTGGTGAGATTTCCTCCCCCTTGCAGTTCACCAATAAGACTAACGGTTAATACTAACAAGAGGGATTACTAGTAGTAATCGGATCATGTCCCTGCATGTCAATGGAGTGATGGTCTCCAATCAGCACCATCAGCCACCAGGGGGGGATCAAGGTACCTTTTGGAGTTTCCCACCCGTGGAAATATTCTAGTGTCCCCGTTTAGCCCCTCCAGCTAAATCCTTCCACGCGATGGTGTGAATGTTAGTGAGCTGGATGATTGCACCATTAATTACCCTGGCAGACTGGCAGTAAAGTACTTACTTCCCTTGCTTGCAAAGAGGGGGGGCCATTGGGGATCCAGACTGCGTCCACCGGGGGGTGTGAAGCGAATCCATTGGATTGTTTACTACTACTATTGACTTAGTGTCTCCTGCCAGCCAATCTGTGGTTCGGCGCCCCGCCCGTCGCTCATTCCACGGCTTCTGCTTTTTCACCGCCAGTTATTGCAGGCGCAGATGGATTCAACAATAATTTATGGAATAGTCTGTCTGCTTGGTAGAAATTTACCGTAATTGAAGATAGTATACTCGTTTTTGATAGATTCTACAGAAATTAGTTCTCTCAATTTGTAAGTGGGAGTGTGTGTGTGTGTCTCAAATTCTCCCCAGACAACCTCCCCTCCTCCAAGAATCCAGTAAGCGCTATCTCTAACAGCAACATTCCCTGTTGTGAAACCCCACCATGACGCTGCCTGCAGATTACTACTATCGACACTGCATCCAAGTTCTGCCGCAATTTTGGGTATCCTCTCTCTTGTACTTAGCTTGTAGCCTGACTGAACCTTCCAAGCGCCCGTATGGCACACAAACTCAAAACTTCCTGCTTCCCAAACCACATCGGCGCTATCTCATGTGCCAGCATTGCCAAGCCCAGTTTCACTTACCGCCATTGTCCTCCAATGACTTCCACCACACCGCAATCCTGTGATCTTCATCTTTCGTGAGATTCAGAAGTGTACTGCTTTGGTGGCTCAGGCGAGATACGTCCCATTCCCGCTGTGCCTTCTCCATACTCAAGTGCACTACTAACCCGGGGATGCAATACTAGCCAATCGATTGACAATCTTCGAGAAACCCCCCCGCCAGATAATCCCCGAACCTGCGTGGCCACCGTCGATCTTGGCTTTCCACCACTAGTGACGTCTTGGCATGCCCTACGCTCGGCCTTTCTCTTATGTTCCTCTGTTGGTCTGCATGCATAGAACGTGTCGAGTGGTCTTGAGACCGATAGCACGTGGGTTGCCAGCATGGGTGCTGGGAACATATCTACGTGGTATATAATCTGAATAGCCTTGTAGAACTAATCATACCAATTCTGTCCTTTCGAGATACTATACTATCAACTGCTTTCTAGTCCCTGGCTGGCGCTTAGTAGTCAGTAATATTAGTAGTATATATTTAGTAGCCCGATGTAGTAATATCGACATAATCAAGTGGAATTGCATTCCTACTATAACGTCAGTATGTCTCGTAGACTCAGGAAGCCGTGCTACAGGACTGGTATAGTACATATACGAACGGCTGCCCCTTCTATTTTTGGCCCAGTTCTCTCTATAGCAGCCTGTCGGAAAGTCCCTATTTAATGGTGATGGCAGCCGGAATACACCTCCGCTGTTCGAGGCTCGTTTTGATACGCCCGGAATATTACCTCGACTTCGCAGGTGTCGACAGCTTCCGTTTGCTTCAGGATATCCAGATATATTTCAGCAGCTGTTATCATGTAGGATCTGTTAATTCTTCTTATGTAGTCGCAAAGGTCTTAAGCTGCTACAGACTCGCTTGCTAAAGACTCATTAATCTTTGTGAACTTGGCCGACGATAGACCAGGGAGAATCATATAGCTATGTTACTAGTAATACCCAGCTGGAAGTAGTATACTTCACTGAGCAGGAGCCTCAATTCTATACTTAGACCAGACCTGGTGAAATCCTTGGCTCTCGGCTGTAGTACCATGGAATTCATTCAACAAAACTATAGCGACTATACCTCGAGAGTAAACACTTCCCTACCAAACGTGAATTCTCCTACTCCCATAGAGCAGCAACACTCGTCTTGTTGTATTATACTGTACTGTAGTCCTTTTATTTCGGTATCGAGGCTGTTCTGCTCGTGAAGTGACAGGACGAGGTAGTCGCGTCTCGTTGCCCGATACGGCAGGTGTTACTCCCATAGTAGACTGACTCTTCGTCGCCCACTTCACTCCAGCTTCTTCCCATTCACACCCCGACACAACCCACAGGAGAACCAAGCTGCAACCTTGACAATCTATGTCTATGAGGATATACAGACAGAGCCTTCTAGCCATATACTTTCGTTTTGGACTCATCTACAAGCGTTTTCCATGGATTTGCAGAGCTATAGGACCTATTGTTAGTTCCCAACTCCCTCATATTGCAGAATCCTGATGCTAACGATACTACATTTACGTCCAAATCTGCTGAGATTTTCATGGGATTGCTACGATGAACTCAGAACTGTGAAAGTGTCACATCAAGCTGGTTTATTCACCATGTCGTAAGGAAAAGATTCACTGGTATTTAAAACTCTTTCCTTTCCCCCCAGGGAGGCTGGAAACTTCTTCTCCCACATATTTCTGCCATCTCTTTGCCTTTCTCTTCCTCTTCTCCTTCTCATCTTCTCTTCCATCTCTTGCCATCTATCTGTCATCTACTTTCATCTACTTGCCATCTCCCTACTATCTCTTGACATCTACTTTCATCTATCTGCCATCTCTTGACATCTATCTGCCATCTCTTGACATCTATCTGCCATCTCTTGACATCTATCTGCCATCTCTTGACATCTATCTGCCATCTCTTGACATCTATCTGCCATTTCCTGCTATTTCTTGCCATTTCTGCCATTTTTGCCATCTACTGACATATATCTGCCACATAGCCTGCCTTTACTTACCAACTAATCTTCCAGATCTTCTAGTAGGTAATCCCAGCTATCTCCTGTCATCTACCCACTCATCTATTCCCTATGTGTCTTGCCTTTCTGTTTTTGAGCGTGACTGACTTTGGTATAGGACACTCTGACACCACTGGCCTTGGTTGGGTGGATGGGACGGGCCTGGGACACCCACTGCACAGCAACTAACAGTAAGTACACAAATGAGCTGTTGACAAAAATAGCTGACTCTTCTATAGCACACCCAAACTCGACTGGCCTAGGTTGGGTGGACGGGACGGGCCTGGGACATCTCGACACACGACTAGACACAGTAGACCAGTGAGTATCCCCAGTTATCTACTGATATTGGCTGACATTTGTAGAACACCCAAACGCGACTGGCCTAGGTTGGGTGGATGGGACGGGCCTGGGAAATCTCGACACACGACTAGACACAGTAGACCAGTGAGTACTCCCGCCTGACCAGCTGCTGAAAATGACTGACTTATGCAGAACACCCACACGCGACTGGCCTAGGTTGGGTGGATGGGATGGGCCAGGGTAGCGACACTCAACTAGACACAGTAGACCAGTGAGTACTATCATCCTGACTAGCTGCTGAAAATGGCTGACTTATACAGAACACCCACACGCGACTGGCCTAGGTTGGGTGGATGGGATGGGCCAGGGTAGCGACACTCAACTATACACTGTAGACCTGTGAGTACTTCCCTGATGAGCTTCTGATCATACTGGCTGACTGGCACAGAACACCCACACGCGACAGGCCTCGGTTGGGCGGATGGGACGGGCCTGGGACAACAACACGCCACACACAACACAGTAAGTACTCCCTGACTTGGCTGCCGATTTACTGACCCGCACAGGACTCATAACGGGTCTGGCCTCATGGTTGGGTGGATGGGCTGGGCCTGGAAGACCTTATATTATGTATACGCATCTGCGATCTAACAGCACAGTGACTACTTCAGAGTTGGCTTTCAATTGACTTTCGATTTACTAATCTGGCACAGGCTCATCAACATACCTGGCCCCAAGGTAGGGTGGCAGGGACGGGCCTGGGTTATATATATCATACATACTTCCTACTAACCCAACACAGTGAGTGTTCCCTGACTTGAAATTCTGTTTTACTGACTCATCGTAGGCGCGACAACACTTCTGGCCCACGGTAGGGTGGAAGGGACGGGCCTGGGACAACAGAGCACAACTCGACAACACAACACAGTGAGTATTCTCTGATTTGTTTACATAGTTAGTACTGACGTTTTCTAGGACTCATACGGGTCTGGCCTCATGGTTGGGTGGATGGGACGGGCCTGGAAGACTCTATTATATACACTTACTCCTATATACGACAAAGTGAGTACTCTTGAGCTGAACTTCACTTTTTTGCTGACTTCCAATAAGCGCGACAACTTCTCTGGCCCCATGGTTGGGTGGATGGGTCGGGCCTGGGACAACAACTCGCCACATACAACACAGTAACTACTGAGTATTCCCTGACTTGCCTACCCGCTCACTGACTCTTCACAGGCGCGACAACACTTCTGGCCTCATGGATGGGTGGATGGGATGGGCCTGGAAGACCATATTATATATACCTGCTCGGTTTTAACACAGGGCCTTACAGTAAGTGTTCCAACCACAGCTCTCCTTGCACGTGCATGTCTAATATTCTACAGGCTTCAGCAACAAGCCAGGCCCTGGTTGGGTGGCAGGGATGGGCTTGGGTCGTAGCACGTAGACATCGGCTCAGTACTAGATGCAAGTCTTCCCATTTATGGCTCACAGATAGCAGTGTGACTGACCCTCTACAGCCTTGAGCGAACCAAGGCGCGGTTGGTTGGTAGGGACGGGTTGGGTCACTTCGGTGACCCGGCACTGGGGTAAGTCCTCTCATTCATCGCTCACGGACAGTAGTGTGGCTGACTTCAACAGCCTCCAGCGTATCAAGCCCTGGTTGGCTTTTAGGCATGGGCTGGGCCGCTGTAGTAGACATAGGTGACCCAGCACTAAGTGTAATTATTCCCATTTATGGCTCCTGAATAGTATTGTGGCTGACTTTCTGCAGCCTCCAGCGAACCAGGCCCTGCTTTGGTTAGCTGGCTGGCACAGGCTGGGTCACCGGATTCAACATCCAACACACAGTTAGTCTCCTTTTTCTGTTCTCTATTTCATAGTTTCTGACATTTAACAGGGTTCACACAGTGAACCAGGCCTCGGTTGGGCGGTCGGGACGGGCCTGGGACATCGGATTTCAACATCATCACACACAGTAAGTAAGCTTTTCCACTTCTGATTGTAGTGTTTGACTCTTAGCAGGGTTCGCAGCAGTGAGCCAGGCCTCGGTTGGGCGGTTGGGAAGGGCCTGGGACATCGGATTCAACATCCATCACATTGTGAGTAAAGCCTTTCACTTCTCATCGTTCTGCTTGTAGTGTGTTTGACTCTTGGTAGGGTTCGCTGCAGCGGACCAGGCCTCGGTTGGGTGGTTGGGACGGGCCTGGGACATCGGACACGAGGGGTGGAGGGTTTGGATCAAGTAAGTAACTCCATATTCGGCTTTTATATGGTAATAAGAACTGACTGCCTTTACCTTCATGGTGGAGCGAACCAGGCCCTGGCTGGGTGGCAGGGACGGGCTTGGGACGTAGTTGTAGACTTCGACAACACAGCACTGGCAAGTATTTCTATTCCCATCTCACTGATCGTAATTGGCTGACTATTCAGGTTTTACCGCTCCAACAACCCAAGCCTTGGTTGGGTGGTAGGGTCGGGCTTGGGATATCGGATTCAACATCCATCAAATAGTGAGTCCTTCGATGTCCGACTGCCCTGATCGCATGTGTGGCTAAATACAATTTCTACAGGCTCACTGCAGTGGTGGACCAGGCCTCGGTTGGGTGGCTGGGACGGGCCTGGGACATCGGACACAGGGGTGGGGGTTGGAGGCATGTAAGTGTGTAAATGCGAGACTCGCGAAAAGATAGGGCTAACTGGCTCCGCCTTCATATGACTTCGCAACAAACCAAGCCTTGGATGGGTGGCAGGGACGGGCTTGGGTTATCGGATTCAACATCCATCATACAGTGAGTCTTACAGTTAATGGCCCTTGGACTAAGTTGTAGCTCACTTTCTACAGGGTTCACTGCAGTGGTGAACCAGGCCTTGGTGGGTGGCAGGGACGGGCCTGGGATCTACTAACTTTAACAGCAAAGTAAGTCATCCAACACACGGCCCTCTAGCTGAAGGTGTAGCTCACTTTCTACAGGGTTCACTGCAGTGGTGAACCAGGCCTTGGTGGGTGGCAGGGACGGGCCTGGGACATCGGACACGGAAGGGGAGGGGGGTTGGTATTATGGAAGTGAAGTTGCTAAATTCGCAGTGTTGGGGCAAGGCTGCATTATCGACTGACTGTAGAGAGTTACCCGACAAAACACCATGCCCTGGTTGGGTGGATGGGAAGGGCTTGGGATACCGACTAACCACAACAGCACAGTAAGTCTTCTAGCTCATTATCCTGGATAAACTTGTGGTTGACTGTTTACAGGCTCACCACTGCAGTGGACCAGGCCTCAGATGGGTGGACGGGACGGGCCTGGGACATACTAACCTCTACAGTTCACCACTGCAGTGAACCGGGCCTCGGCTGGATGGACGGGACGGGCCTGGGTCATACTAACTTTAGCAACATAGTAAGCTTTCCGAATCATCTCTTCCTTATAATGTGTGGCTGACTGACTCTCTACAGGGTTCACCACTACAGTGGACCAGGCCTAGGCTGGGCGGTTGGGACGGGCCTGGGACATAGGATCCAACATCCTTCATACTGCAAGTCTTCAGTGGTTTCTTGATAGTATGTATGACTGACATCTGTAGGGTTCACCACTGCGGTGAACTAGGCCCTGGTTGGGTGGCAGGGACGGGCCTGGGTCATCGGACACGGGGAGGGGGGGCTTTGGGTTGTGTAAGTCGTTATTATATCGTGGCTTGGTGTTGGGAAAAGAGCTGACAGACTACACCATCTGCAGCACGCTTCGAAGAACCAGGCCTCGGATGGGCGGTTGGGACGGGCCTGGGCATCGGATTCAACATCCACTATACAGTAGGTTACCCACTCATAGCTGTCCAGTTGCATGACTGACTTCTACAGGTTCACCACTGCAGTGAGCCAGGCCTCGGTTGGGCGGCTGGGACGGGCCTGGGACATCGGACACGGGGGAGGGGGTGTGCAAGTAATATCTGATGATAGGGTGAAGGGTTGAAAGCATAACTGACTGATTGATCTTTTCGCATAACCTTGCAACGAAGCACGGGCCGGTTAGGCTGTTGTGGTGGAGTATGATCACCCATCGTTTGGTAGGTAAACTGCCACCAGTGGATTATTTCTAGGAGACCAGTGTGACTGACTGAGCACTAGATTGTTTCCTGGGACACACACTGCAATGGAAAGTTATCAGTTTAGAGGAGCTGTCTAGTACACTTTCAAGATAGACCATCACTGAATTAAGCCATATTATGTGCAATACCTGGACGCGTAGTAACTATGTAAAGCAGACGGAACGTTGGTTGGCTGATCGTCGAGTTCAGAAGAGTAGCATGAAAGCCTTCATTTGCTGGTCGCTTGGCTTCTAGTTTGTGGCTTCATTTGCTTCAGAGCGACTTCTACGAGTACACATTCTGACTTGATGGGTTTAGTTAATGGGTAAGAGCTCCCGTCAGCAACACCCCCAGACAACTTGGGAGCGAAAACAGTATCATTCCAACCCGACCATAGTCCCAAAAGGAGAGCCAAAGCGACCTACTCGGCTACAACCACATCGTAAACACCCGACTTCGCCATAACATTCACAGTATCCACAAAATATCTCTCACACCGGCATACACTCGCCTAGTGAGAAAGGTCACGGGGAGATAACTCAATGAGCGAGATAGACTAACTATAATTGACAGAAGCGAAAACGGTAGCCTTCTCGTACCGAGAAAGAACAAGAAAGGATGTGTATTGATTCTACATTGTATTGTATGATGTCAACAGGATGGAAAAGTTCCTAATGTACCGTCCCATTGAGAAGTTCTTGAAGTTATCTGATCGAAAGCAGCATGTCGGGGGTAGGGAGCTGATATGGGTAAGAGAAGAGAAGGGAAGGGAAGGGAAGGGAAGGGAAGGGAAGGGAAGGGAAGCTGAGAATTGAACGGAAGTAAGATAGGACGAAGGAATGAATGTATTACAAGCAAAAAGATTCTTATGTCAATTGGATAAGTGGTAGGTACTTAGGTAGGAATTTGGCCCGGTCGCAGGATGAGGCATCCCTAGGGATATTTGGCTTTGCGAGTACTGGTTGGGTTGAAACAAACTTAGTTGAGTGGTACTGGAGTAGTCGATGAAGAGTATATGTGATTAAGGAGGGGGGACTAATCACAATAAAGACAAATAATTCGATTGTGGTGGAGATTCCTTGTTAAATGGAAGTAGATAGTGTACGTACATCCTGGCAGAGAGGCGATGTTGTGGAGGAGCAGCCTATAGATGGCTGAGGAGGAGAGTAATAGCATTGTGTACCACACTAGGAGAAACTGCTTTCTATAGTTCATCTGCACTCGTGGCCTTCCGTCCAATAACTCTATAATAGGTATACTGAAGATAAGAGCCCTCTCTGGAAGCCTTGGCTGCGTCTCGAAGGGTTCCCCTCAGTTCTTGGGCTTTCTGCTCGTCCAGATCCTTGTTTCTGGTAGAGACTTCGACGGCCACCATTACACAATCGAACAGGGATTGTGCGATATAATGTGGAGGGTCTCTGCGATCAACATCGACGTCGAGGAACTTTGCTTCTTGGAAGCGAGTCCCCAGGTCGGGTACCCAAGAAGTGTAGAACCTTTCGTCGTTCCCCCGAAGGACACTTTCAAGTCGCTTCAACGGTTCGTCGCTTATATCAGGTCGAAGCTTTACCGGTCGGATTGAACACATATCTGTATCGGTCCATTGGAGGTAGCCGCCTGGTTCTAGCCATCGCTTTAGGTTAACTGAGAGGTCAAAGTAACTTGCTGAGCATAGAGGGGACAGTACGAACTAAGTAGTCGGGATAGATTATTCAGAGCATCCTTGATCTCAGAGTTTCGAAGGACAACGGTGAGATATCGTACATTGACTAGATCGTACGCACCGACTAGGTGTTCGGGGACTGGGGATTTGATATCCCAGTACTGCAGGGTCACGTTTTGTGGGAGCCATTCGCGACGAGGGGCAGCGTCGAACGAAACATCGAGGCCGTCCAGGCGAACGGATTTTGGTAGCTTATTGGCTAGGTCTGTGAGCCAGATACTGGAAGTTTGTTAGCTGCTGAATATAGTGCACGTGGCTGGTTGCCTTTTCTTCTCGACGGACTTACGCGGTGCCAGCCCCAACATCAGCGATTCTCATTTCCGGATTTGCTGTGCAGATGTGTGGATGGATGTAACCTTGGTATAATTGTCCTACCAAATGATGCATGGTGTTGATACTATATAATTTGTATGAGAATGGGTGTGTATAGCGAAAACTTCTTGGGTTGACAGGACTTTAGCCATACCGGACGTTGTCAAGCCAGCTCCTGTCGAAGGCATATTCCCCAGCCGCAGACGTAGTCATTCTTTCTTCTGGATGCGAACGATATACTCGAATTGTAATTTGTTCAAATTATCAGCAGGATGCGCGCGATAGAATCAATCAAGGGTACTGGAGAGGGAGGGAAATGGATTAAATAGAGAATAATGCAAATTTCTGTATCGATAATGGATCATTTGCAAAGCTGCTGTGTTACAGGTTTCTTTGTCGATCTATCTTTCTCAGCTGACCAGTACCCCTTTCTCAAAGCATTGCGCAAGGGTCACGTTGTATCGCAGTATTCAGCAGTGGATGCACCTCGTGCCAGGTCATATCTTGACGCAATATGTTCTCCACAAGCGAAGACGGCTTTAACCCGCACATCACACCCATTGGACTGATCTGCGTCGTTCAGCAGGCTTTTGCTCAAAGCGATTATAGCCGATGTAGCGATATGACCGGAGAGGTGTGGGAACAAGGTCAAGAGACATCGAAGTGAGTCCAAGGGTGGTTGTGTGGTTTTCAAAGCGAGCTAACAAAGCACCAAACAGAGCAGAAGAGGAACGCAAAGACGTAGACAGCCGTAACATCATCCCATTTAGGAAGCCTGCAGCATGATAGAGGGCGTGGCGGTGCTTGCTGTTGAAGTGGATTGGATATAACAGGAAGCTGAGTGATAAGAGGGTAACGCGCCTTAGGAGTTAGGATGTCGAAGACAAGTAGCGCCCCAATCAGAACTTAGCTCATCAGTATCAGCCATTCAGATTGTTGGAATAGGTGTGTTACAATATAATCCACGCACTGCACCGAGAGTCGGGTGAGATCTATTGTGTAGAGGATCAATGGCATGTTGCCATTCCTCACGGGCTGAAGAAATCATCGGCTTCCAATAGGAGGAAGTGGAAGAAGACTGACAATCCTGCAAGGGAAGGTCAATGCGGGACAAAACAGGAAAGACTACCACCAAACGGTGCAAACTAATTTTCTTCTTCTTCCTACCAATCACTACTTGTTATGATTAAAATCCGGTGAGAACCAATGTTGAAAATGCAAATTCAAGAACACACTATCTCGAGCCGAACACTACTAGCAGCCATTTAGACGGACATTTTGACCATGTCCGTAGCCACCAATTCTCGCATCGAGTCACCCTTTCAGCAAAGCAACGGCGACCATTCTTCCATTGGGCCAGTATATTCAGTAGCATAATCCACAGCCCACCAAACTGGTTCCATACAAGCAAGTACCATGTACGTGCTGATGATGTCCAGGCAGCTGCAGTCGGTGTACTTCGTTTCGTATGCCTTACCAAGGAGCGGCACCCGAGCTTCCCAAGAGACTTTGTCATATTGATAGCAGCCGGAGCATGTTTCGAAGTGAGCCAAGCATTTCCGCAGGAGCTCGTCATACCGATCCTTATTGGAACACCGGTTGCGAAGATCAAAGCCATATGGGTGTGTACTTGGTGGCAGCGGGTTCATACGGTTCAGAACGGGGTCGCCGTAAGGGTCCTCCGCTGACGGATCCCCCGACTCTGTTGGAACCATATGATCGAAGAGGATTGTTGTTCTGTACCGCGCCATGTAAAGCTGCCAGGCCAACATACGTCCAGAATAGTGGAGTACCCAGTCGGCTCCCTTATCCAAGGCCCAGGCCCATACATCAACACACAGTCAGCGGACCATGTTAGTTGCTGGAACGCCACAATGCGCACTGACTATTGTCAAGGTATTATAGAACTCATTAGCCAGATTGTCATGGCGGTAATCGCAAGCATCGTGCATGGTTACTCCGACAAACGCGATGGCATCGAGAGTGAGGTCATCTTCGTCCAAACGGCCACTTTCAAGTCTTACTTCTAAAGCTATAGCCCGCATGCCCCCATTGATCAGTCGGTAACGGATGCTTTGCAGCTCGTCTTCTGGAAATCTCAGGCCTTCGGCCTTTGGGTGGAGCACGTCAAGATAGACCGCCTGCAGGGTGGAGAGCCAGGTATCCATCACCTTGTGGTATTCGGAATTATGAGAATGACAACGATGAACATGAGCGATATATTCCACTATATGCTTTGCAGTCATTTCGAGCAATGGGAGCATTTCCTGGCAGAAGTGGTAATAGTCGGGAAACGCGGCGAAGATGGCGCATACGGCAGTTCCACAGAAGCATTCTTTGCAGATGATATTATCATCTATCATGGACCACACGTATCCATATAACACCTCGGCGACCGCATGCTGCAAAACGGTGTGTCTGGGACAGTGAACGCTTCAGCCAAGGCTCGCATGTGGACTCTTCCGCGCGGAATCAGGCCAGAGCGTGGAGGCGCCTTGAATGGACGGCGAATATTGGGATATTCCTTCAGGGTGCGTGTCCATGCTGAACTTTCCGCAATTGGATATGGCTTTATGTGCTTGTTGTAGGACCCCACCGGGTTTTTTGGATGGAATAGACGCGGCCCAACATCAGGAACCCAGGATTCTCTGAGTCCAGGAATAGCCAAGATATTGGAAATCAGACCCTTCCTGGTTTCCTCTCCACGTTCGAGACAGTAAAGGCTGGGTCCGAATATGCCCGTCTCCATGTTTTCTTTGAATGAAGTCAGGAAACTGGAAGGAGCTCAAGAGTCAAAGACAATTAATTTAGTAGAAGCAGATGATCAAGTTCGTCCAAACTACTTGAATGCTCTGAGATCGAGAATCAAAACCAAGTAGTAATATGAAGCATATTGATATTTATACTGTAGACAAGCTAGCCTGCGCAATTCTGAGCACTGATTTAGTACTGTCCTCCCCACCCCCTTCGTAGATCGTTGGTAATTGTAAAGGAAGGGGCTTTGTATAAGTTAGCACACATCTGAGTAGAGGCATATGTTGTGGGACGATATATTTCAGTCAGCCACTAGAATCTATCAACGACACTGCTGATCTTCGGCATGTAGTCACACTCTTTGACCATGATTGAGGCCGTTGTTACATCGGAATCTGAGAAATCTCAAGAGAGAAAGCAAAGAAGGAAAAGCGAGCGGGAGCAGTTCGTTCATGGAGTACTAGTTTGAGTATTAGATCTGCTAGGACAGTGCCTCACATTTCATGTATGCACTTCAATCACAATTGGTATCCAATGATAAACTGAGACGTAATCTCACAAGGAATGACTTGGAAGCCATGCATTCATCGTATCTATCACAAGTAAAGATCTTCGTTGAGCGGCCTGATAGAAGAAGGATGACGACTCTGTGCGCTGTGAGGATACTTTATGCATGGCGGCGAATAGTATCGAGTACGCTGTTATTCTCCGTATCTATATGAACCACTCACCACCCTCCCACCACTACTCAGAAGATAATCATGATCACCGAAAGCATATATGTGGTGTCACACCAACCAGGATGATTCAATCGGTTTCGCGCAGTCCGCTTGATAGACGGGTACCAGTTGACAACCCCTTTTTTTTTTATAAGTTCTTCTCTCAGAAGTACTATGGAAAAGGGCCCTTTGCGTAGAGTGTTGACTTGTAGCGAGAAGATTGCTGGGTGCACCTCGATCAGAGGTGGCGTGTATGCAATCTGAATAGGAAAGAAGGACAAGCCAAACGTGTGTTATTGTGTTCTCTGTGAGTAGTCTGTATGATAATGATTATGATGATCCTAGATACAAAGTGGAATGCAGCCAAAATGCGGATTATATGCGACGTCCCTCCAAACGGGAAGGTGCCCCTGACAAAGATGGTGGGATCGACTAAGGTCCTGACCACGTATGAATTGGTTGACCAGCAATTGGAGTGCCGACCACATCCCCTAATTGTTTTTTTTTTTTTTTTTTTTTTTTTGAATTTTACCGTTACTCGTTTCATCTTATTTTCTTTTCTTTCTTTTGTTACTATCGCGGCCGTCGGGGTTTCAAAACATGGTCCTACTTTCCCTACACAGTCCCGAGAAAAATACGTCAGGGTTAAGTTCTGCCTTTCAAGCACCTATTCATGTGGTCAAGATATCCTTGACAACTACATTAACAGTCGCGTGGCCCTTTTCAGGGCGTGAAAGCAGAAAGTCCCGGGCTGTTCGAATTTCATCTTCCGTGGCATCGTATAATTCCATGTCGTAGCGGCGTATCAAGGTGGCTACGGTCAGATAGAGTACCGCATAGGCCAGACTGCGAGAAAGATTGGCATCAACTTCCGTACATAGCTATTTGTAGACAATCTTTATCGAATCCAGCCAAAGAACATTACTTACTTGATTCCGATGCACTTCCTACTGCCTTTAGAGAAGGCAACAAGAAATGACTTCAAGTTGACATTCTCTTTTCCGGCACGAATCCAACGATCAGGATCAAATGTATCTGGATCGGGGAAGACTGCGGGGTCCTGGTGGACGAAATAGTCGGATTGTCCAACCGGCGTCTGGAATAAGAAGGTATGTCGGATCAGCTCGTGTCTGGATGATTGGTGTGGGATGCAATGGAACTCACGCCAGCGGGTATCGTGTATTTTCCGTATGTCAGCGGCTCATTTGGAGATATTCGAGGTGTGCGACCCGAAGTTCCTGAGAGACGAAGTGCTTCATTGATAATAGCGGTCCATAGGAGAAAACGAAGGACAGCGTTAGTATACGGCAGATGTTTTGATTAAAAGTATATGCCTCACCAAGTACGGCAATTTCTCCAGTTCCGACCATTTCGCCTGGTAGGTAGGCGTTGGTATTACCTGCTTTAGCTCTTCTCGTAGAGTCTGCGCCAGCTGCTTGTTTTTCAACAGGTGGAAGAGTGCCACAGATAGGGTCTGGGAAATCGAATCACCGGCTACAATTAAGACGAAAGACTCATCTTCCAACCGCTCTAGCGATTTCTCTTCTGCAGGTCCGTTGCCGCTCAGTAGAGCAGCAAAGACGGGACCGCTGGCCATTGTTGATCTGTCCTTGTGGTGGATTGCGTCCTGGGCTTGCTGCCGGAGCCAGAGCTTGAAGTCAACCAAGTCTGAGACCGAGTGGACTGAGCGCAGAAGTGTTAATGGAACGCTCCTGAAGAGTGTAACAAGAAATGGCAAGTAACGAAAGACATGGATTTTCGCCGCTAATTCATTAGCTGAGGCCATCGAATCATTCTTGAACTTGGGATCGTCCAGATAGTGAAGATCCTCCGCATACAAGTACTGCCCGAGTATGTCACTAACAAGTGCCCCAAAAGCTGCTTTGAGGCTGACGATGGCGCCTACCCGCTGAATAGAATCCAGACGTGAAGACAACTTGCTGATCTTGTCTTGTATTATAGATTCAGAATTGACAACAGCCCTTCTCGTGAAAAGATGACTGATAACAGCGCGGCGGGATCGATGAAGGTCGTGGCTGACTGTGGAAAACATTGCACTCGGACAGCAAAATGAGCGGACTAACTTCGCGTCCTTGTCTCGCTTCCCATTGCTACTACTTGCGTAAATCTGGTCGTAAAAATAGGGGTCCTTGATATGCAATTCCCCGGGGCTGACTCGCACTATCGGCCCTTTGTCTCTTGTAAGTTTGATGAAAACTATCTCTCTCCGAGCATCAGTCTTACCATAGCGTTCATGCATTCGCTCCACCTCCCAGATATATTTCCCACCTTCGACTACATCGTAATAGAACTCGTACAAACTGGTAGCGGCAGCTAATTTCGGGCCTGGTATTCCACGGAGAGGGTGCAGCACCAGACGATAGAGTGTGCGCAGGAACAAAAAGACAAAGATAGCAAGTATGGCCCTGTAGTAGTCCATAATTGGGGTATAATTTGGCGCTCGAGGAGTTGGTAGTTGTCGATGCCAATATTGCCCCGTGCTTGCTGATTTTCTGGATGATGTGAAGAATAGACGATGCGAGACACTCGCAGTAACTGAAGGGAGTCTAAAGATTCGAGTTTCCGCTGCCTCTTATGCCATGTCTATACGACACAAGGGTTTAATTAGCAAAAGAATTCATGTATCGTTGGGTGTTTTCGATTGTGTGCAACCAATAGCCCGGAGGCGAGACACCGCCAAATCGTCAGCAGGAGCACAACAGAACCCAACAATGTATCAGCTTGGCTCACAATACCTGCAACCAGCATTTGGTTTAGCAATACATCATTCAAGGCAGGACGCTCGAAGCCCATTTCGGCAATGTACTTGGAGCAGAAAAGATAGCTGTATGCTCGAAGACGGTATCAACACAATGATGTGCCAGGCATATAAATGGAAGCTTACTTTGTACATTCACTCGAGTCCAGCATAGTAAATATGCTTCAGAGGGACCCATGCTAGTTGCCTAAGCGCATTAGTGAACATCTCGCTAGCACCAAATAGATGGACTTGAATTCGGATCCTGAAAACAACTTTCAATATCACGTAGATGAAAAGCCCATTGAATCCTGAGCGGAGCCAACCGACAAAGTATGATGATAACGATCGGAGATCGCCTGACTCGTGTGTCAGCAAGGGATAATATCGTGGTTGTTTGCCGAATGTCGTGGCATCAAAGCTATCGATGTTGCAGCTCAGCTACTGCAGATATCCCCGCATCGGCTCCAGAAATATTGCCGACAGGATGATAAGTATCTCCCCTCACAACAGTGCACTAACGATGAAGTAACATCGATTTGATAACAATTCTCAGCAGAGTGGATCGTGCGTCAACAGCGGATGGTTTTATTGATGGTCATTCGAATTAATGAATTGGTCACGAAGTAGTTATGGCTATGATTCCTCCAAGGTAGCGATCGGTGGTGGTGGGCCTGTGGTTTGGATGTTGACCCACTGCGCTGTATCCCCCGCAATATCGCTTTGACTGATCGGATGAGTTACGGAAACCCTCTTTGTCCCCTCTACGGTTGCATCGATGGAGTACTGGTGTGTTAAGGGGGGGTAGTATTATTGACCTTAGTAGGGAAATAAGACATGAGAATTGGCAGGACATGTCAACCACCGGGTCATGTGATATATCTTCAGATACTATGTACTTGACTAAGGGGGAATACATCATCACAAAAGAACATTGTGATCATCAAATATGGCATTAGCAGGCACCAGGCCTTGGACGAAAGTAATTCAGCTATTCTCACAAAACATAGACAAGTTCGTGGTTCTCCCAATCAGTAAGATCCATCCATCTGGTATATGGTTAGATAGATATTCCACAATATCAGGAATGCATTGACTTACTCTTGGTTCTCCATTGGCGCGTAACCCGGGCTTGCACGGACACGGGCCTTCTTCTCGTTCTGTACACGGTACCACCACCAGATGAACGCGAGAATGAACAGACAGACGCCCCAGCAGACGATGATGGTAATTTCTGCAGGAACATAGCGGGGTGCGTCTTGGGGACGGAAGACTTGGGGGCCTTGATTATATGTCCGTCAGTTGTGATGTTCCATCAATACGAACTGGAATAAAAGCATACCGATAATATTTCCTGCACAGTATCCAATGAGGTAGATCGCCGCAACAGTCGTCTTCTTCGTGTAGCCAGCTACGTTAGACGAAATCATGGCGAGCAGTGCCACAAACGGCGTGGCGCTTGCCAGCGTCATGTAGTAGCCTAATAACCGACCAACATTATTCGTAAGAGGGAGTGCAACAACAAGTATCATGCCGATGATGGAAGCTATGAGACCGCCTGTGCTGCAGAGCAGCCGTTGGTTGGTATATTGCCCGAGAAAGCCGCTTCCGAGCAGGGAGATGACTTCGATGGCACCGGCGGGAACACCGTAGATAAGACTTTGTTCTGCCGTGTATCCAAAGCTAGTGATCTATGGCATCCGGGCTGGTCAGTACATGGTAATCTGGACGTGGTAAGGGCAAACGAACCAACTGGCTGAAGAAGTTCGTAATGCCGCCGTTAGGAATATCAGCGATGAGGGCATAGAAAAAAAAGGCCCATGTCATAGGGTCTAACAAAGCTTCCTTCACTTGGTGAATCTTGAAATGCTTGTTTCCGATTCCTTGCTGATTGACACGCACACGCGCAAGGGCAAGGACACGGTCTTCCTTCTTGAGCCATCTAGCGTTGAGCTGATTGTCTGGAACGACCCAGAGGAAGATCAGTCCCAGACAAACAGTCAAAAGGCCAGTCACGAGGAAAATGATCTTCCAAGGCTCAATGGAAGAGCCATGTCGGTCGGTCCCAACGGCGATACCGTACGCAACCAAGCCACCAAAAATCTGACCCCATCCGTTGAAGCTGAACCAGATATTGACTCGACTGCCTTGTTCTGCTTTGGTATACCACTATTGTATGTAAGATAATTGAAGATTGGCTAAGCCGGAGGGTAGTGACACTCACCTGAGAGGTCAGCAAAGCAAAACCGGGGGTGACAGACGCTTCAAAGACACCGAGAAAGAATCTAGAGGATGGTAGTCAGTAAGTGAAATGAAGCATGATTTCGAAGAGGCTATTTACCGGATAGCAATAGCGCCAGAGAAGTTATTTACTGCGGCAAAGCAGCATAGGATCGCTCCCCAGATTATAATGCAAGCGGCAGAGTACTTTCCCAGTGGAAGTCTCTGGAGGAGCCGGTTGGTCGGGTATTCCCATGCCAGGTAGCCTTTATTGTGTCAGTCCAGTGTACCATATATCATGTTGGTAGTGTGTGGTGGACTAACCGAAATAAAACAGACTGCCAAGCCATTGGTAATCGTCGCCGACGAGGTTCAAATCTGTCTTGATGCCCATAATACTAGCATAGGATAATGTTGTCTCTGCCCATCATTAGTATGAACCTTGGGAGGCTACCGCGGAATACACTAACTATCTAAGAAATTCATTCCATAGACAAGACACATGATCGGCATGATGTGCCAATCGATAATCCGAAGTATCCTTTTGTTTGTCTCCTCATCGAGTGTGATAACTTCACCATGGAGGTCTTCGAAAACCGCCAGTGCCTCGTCTGCATCCTTCGCGTGCTCCGCAATTGTCGGGTCAATTTTCTCTGTTGTGCCAGTCTCCTCATCCACCGTCATCGGTGGGGGAGACTTCTCAGTCTTCTCATCCGCCATGTTAGATCTGGCTCAGAAAGGAGAGGTAAATTTGGTGACCGCGGCAGCGGGGAAGAAGGGAGAGGATCTTAGTAGTTGTCTTAAAATTTTCAATCTGGCGACAGCTGTCTCCTTTTAAGGGCTGCCAGCCAATTCCGAAAACTCGTCATCCGACCCCATCGGAAGCACAACGAGGCGAGTTTCTTTTATCAACTTGGCGCAGGGGGTCTCAGTCGCAACCTCGGTGATAAGCCGCTGGTCAATGTCATGTTATCTGGTATCAATCTGGGGTAACGGACGAGGAGCTTATCGATGGAACCAATGGGTCCACGTCTCCCAGCCGAAGGCCCACTTAGAGTGTCTTGGTCAGGGATGAGGGGAAGCACTGAGATGGCTCATGGGTGTATTAGTTAGTAATGATGATGAGGGGAAGTTGGGAGGAGATCGCGAGAAGGTTGGGGCGACACCAATTGGAGACCAATGAGGACCGGCATCGGGGTCTTATCCATTGGATGAAGTAGCCGAGAGCAAGCTCGAGCATCCAACTAAACTAGTAAAGTTTCACGGGAGGCGATAGGACAAGGATGGGAATGGAACGATGGAAGGATAGGAGCTGCATGGATCGGCCCTTATCACGCGACGGACATGGCGTCCAACGCCCGGATGTGATGTCTGGGGCCTCGGGCTGGGGTGACTGTCTAGGTAACTTTTGCATCGATCAGGGAGGAAGCATTTCCGGAGGGCAAAGTCTTTGATTTCGCCATATATTCTCGGAAGTACCGTACTTCAATTGCAGTGACTGGTTGGGATGCAGTTGAAGCCGAGTCAGCATTGCTTATCTGCGACAAACAATTAAGCTTATCACCGCCCTTATCAGCCACCCGTCGCCATTTTCTCTACGCAAGAGTTACAGGACTAAGTACTTCGCAGCCTGCTTATCTGCATCAAATCGTCGTACCGCATTAATCCCGTGCCACACATAATAGCCTGCAGGATCAATACCGTTTTGACATCCGATGCCGCAGTCTGACTACCCGTGCTCGACATTAGTTTGTATGCGTATCGTTGCGGCAAGTTGCATTTCTATATCATTCATAACCATCAAAACTTTTTTCCTCCTTTTATAGTATTAGTTTCCGCCGACACGGGCCAGGTACGCCTCCCAACCTTCCTTCTGGTACTGTTGCGCAGCCTGCACCGGGTCCGGCGCGGCGTAGATACCGCGACCCGCGATAATGAAGTCAGCACCCCGACCGATAGCCGATGCGGGCGTCTGGTACTGCTGACCGAGCTTATCTCCCTTGGACGAAATGTTCACACCAGTCGTGAAGACTACAAAGTCTTCCTCATCCGAAGGAGAGCTGACTTCCGACTGC